TTTGTCATAGATCCAAGTAATAGATGCCCACGCAACTGGTATTCAAGGCGAGTCAAACAATAGACAGACAATAAAACCAAGAACGTGCATCTGCATTCCTGCCAGATGTCACATTTCCAAAGTGACCTACATAAAACTGCCCTGATCTTATTTTAGGTCAAGTGAATATGGCAACAGTGACGAATGTTATAAAATAAGTAATTTGGAGGCAACAGATGGCAGGTTGAAGCAGAGGCGATAGTTATTATTCATCTTAATAACAGAAATTCACCCAGGCCATAATACCTAAAAGCCAACGAGTAGGTGTATTTAACACACCGTAATCAACACAAATTCATGTGATGGACTCAGCTATCACAAGGTAGTCAAGTCAAATTACGCAGATAACACAATACCGTTTGGGTAGAGCAAGAATAATCGACACCGATTTCAAGGATGATGTAGGCGAAGCACCACATATTTGCTGCTCCGATCCATACAACCAAGAGCCTACCCAACTTGCTCCTGCATGAATCCAGAAGTAAGGCAGATGTTCAGCAGATTTTTCAAGAAAGGTGTTACTAGCACCAACATTTTACCGACTGATAAAACACGACTTCGAGGTCCTCCAAAACCTCTAGGCGTATCATCACACATGGAGCAAACACGTGGTTATCAGGATCATAGAGGACAGTCGACCACCACAACCCTTACACTACAGTCCAGAAACAGCTTGCATCTGTGCAAAGCTCCGAACTAGGTGCTACCAACTAGCCGAAACTAAAAGAACATGCCGCACATTTGCCATGACATGAAAACAATCAGATTTTACTCCCAATTGAGACCAGGAAGGCAATCTATACATCAACCTAGTGTTGATGTAGCATTTACATACCTTATGCTGTTCAAGAAATACCCTGATCATTGTTGCCACACAGAACGTTATGGAAATCGACTACCTGGTCGGATACAAATCACCTATCTGGGTGGGATGAACTGGACATTTCTGGATAAATTCAACATTCCTCATGAATTTCATAAACCACTAAAAGTTGTACGCTTGACTTCCCACTCCCAGTTTCCCATGTGTGGCACGGATCCTCAATTTGAATATGGTAAGTGACCGCGCCAAGATGTCGCACGTGGAGACAAGCTAATTCAAAGTCAGTAAAAAGCAGTGTAGGTTCACCATGGACCGAGGAGACAAAGGAGAGCAGCACTTTTACTTCTCTTCAGCAATGACTAAGTTGGTTAAAAAATCATACCAGAACAAAAAACACCTGGATGGCAGTCGTAGACAATTCACTGAATATCTGACAGTGAATGTGATGGGAAATGATTGAGGAGACAAAACCAAATCACGCAAATTTAAAGTCTGTACAACATGTAAGAAAGAAAACCACCTTCGCAAAATGAGCCAGGGTTTATTTACGTGTCTGAAAAGCAAAAAATGCACAACCAAATTCGAGGATTTCCCAATTTCCTTGTCTCAAAACAGGCAAACCTGAGGCAAAGAGGGTTAGGTATCAAGGCTGCGCGTACATCGCTGCTGATGTAGATGAAAGTTTACAATCTAAGCGAATGGTGTGATTGAGCAAATCCGTAGCCTAACTAAACTAAACTATTTGAGAGTGTAGAAACTTAGCGCAAATAAAAATATCACTGCGGTGTGAGTGTTTAAATGACAGGACAGCATATTCTGACGGAAGTAGAAGCAATGCGATGATGGAAACCACTGTAGGGTGATGAAAACTCACTAAGATCGTCTGCACCAACAACATCCTTCGCCATTGCAAAGTTCGCTACTGGCGCAGCAGCAAAGATGGCTGGGACACGCCGTGCAAATGTATTCCCTTGGGACTCCAAATGGATCGACATTCAGTCTTCTCCCTTCGTACATCATGTCTCAAGCTTAAACGGCAAAAAGTGAATTTTTAATAATGTATGTGAAAAGTCCACTGAAATTACATTCAAGTACTAATATTCCTGCAATGCTGTAAGGTATATTAGTGAATACTTAGGGATGAAAAATAGATCCCAAATATCGCAACCCATTCTTTGACTTTACCGAAGAAGGGTGACTACCCTCAATTTTTGACTAAAAGACCTATTCTGGGGCATATTGTAGGGTCTCGAGACTCCATAAAGACGAAAGAAGACAAAATACTCGGGCAGGTTATCTATTCAGCGCAGAGAGGGTGTCTGGCCTATTGGCATGGCTGGAGAGGCCTGCACAGCCAGAGAGGTACATGAGGGCTAATTCAAAGTACAGAAGTGGCTCCTCGCCAATACCGGGGGATAAACCGCCATCGTATTACAATATTATAGAGAACTAGTGTAGTGCCTTAAGGCAATAATGACTCTGCAAAAGCCCATACCAGTATGCAGCACCATTTCATCTAGCACAGATGGCTTTTGAAAAGGTACAGGCTTAAGCTTAATCATCCGAGGAACAATGAAGAATTATGCGTGGTGAACGTCCTCCCGTCTACAAGCTGCTTCATTCGAAACGCACAACCCTGTACTTAGTCGATACTTGCTTAACACATCATTGTGCAGTGAGATTCGCAGATAAGTTTTTACTCACTAATGCAAGAAAGAAAGCCATATAATTGCCTAGGTCACCTTGACGGAAAAGCACAGAAGACAATAGCCCCCTCCCTAACGATATAACTTGTTTGTTTAAAGAGCATAAGGTTTGGGGTGAAGGAGATAAACAAGGAACTAGCTGCATACTTTTATCTAATATTACATATAGTAAATAACTGTGGCCCCACTAAGATTTGTACTTAATAAGAAAATGTCATTTTCTGTGTTTGCTTTTGTTGTACATTTTATTCATTGGTATGTCAACTTGTAAATACATCTCTATTCAACGACAATTTTTTTGGTATAAAATACTTGCAAATGCGCATTAGCAGTTGTTTACTTGGTGTTAAATAAATGTTAATTAGATTCATTTATAAGATGACGATTCGAATTCTACCGCAGCTAAGAGAAGTAAGGATCTGTAAACATCTCCAAACATATCTACATTATTCAAGTGACGATACTTGCAGCACAAAGCACATGGTTGCTGCAAGCTACAAACTCATGTAAGGCCATGTTTTTGTGACAGAGTAAATGGATGGCGCTGCGTTCTCTCAGGGTTCCAAACAGAGCAATAAGGGGCTGAACATCAGAAAGCGAAGTCCTTGATGCTGGTCTGCTTTGCCTTACTCATTTCTATTCCCTTCCCTTTTACTACATTGCTAAATAAAGTGCAGCTGGAATCGCTGCTGGAATGAAATGGCAATGATCCTCTGTTAACACGAAGCCACCTTTTATCCTCAATTCCTTCTGCATCCCTTTCACTAAGCAGTTAAATGGTTATTTAAGAGAGCGTCACTTCATGTGCTCAAATACACTCCACGCCTACAACTGTACAACCAGTTTTGCATCTGGCGCCGTCCTTGTTCTAGGGCATCATCGATTATTGACTGACCGCTTAATATTTTAATTCGTTAATCAATAAAGTAATGAATCAACTACAGTTTTAATTCTCGCCTTGATAAAGGTTCCAAACGCTCTCTAGTTGCTCGTATTATGCACTAAGTGCTCCGCTCCGCTTTAAACTTCACCACCAACAACTCTTCCCAATTATTCACTCCTGTTTCTGTCCACTATCAACACTGTATTCGATAATTCCATTATTTGGCTTTTGACCCTTTCACACTCACTCAGTACATGTAGAGCTTGAGGTCTGTTTCCCTCTGGATGCCTTTGCACATGGAAGTCAACGTCTTCTCGTCTTATCACCACTATCCCTGGCATGGAGGGAATTACAACTGCTGCTGACTTAGAGCTCATATTCCTTCCTCGGGCACCCTTTCTCTACGTTAGCCATCAATCACCCATCCTCCTCTGTCTCTGCATTCTCATCCATCTCCGCCTCCGCCTCCGCCTCCTTCACTCGCCCAATCCTCATCCACAATTGCAACTACTAACAGGGCATTAATCGCTACGTCCCTTGACGCCCATTACCTCTTATTCCATGACCCCTATAGAACACAGCCTACTGCCAGCACAACTTTCCCTTAACACAGTTACCGAAAATGTTAGTAAGTATATCCCTTCCCATTACATGCTCCAGTCTTCAGTCTGCTACTTCTACTTACTGCCAATGATCCTCATTTCAACACTCTCTCAGGTCTCATCTTCAGCAGTCAGTTGGGAGTATGGTCTGACCCACCAGTACTGCCGTGCGGGTTTCGATGACGACGACACTGCATAGTGAAGAAGGAGTTCGAGTGTGACCTCTCTGATTATCTGCCTGTAAGCCGGTGGTCAGATATGCTTGAACAAGCCAAGGGGGTGGCAGTTGTCACCCTCCTAGGTGGCATGCACTCCCATCACATCGTCATCCCTATCCACTGTGTCAGTGGTGCTGGTATTGGCTTTGACTGGTATCCACTTATGCACAGACGTACACACACACCTATCCATCCGAAGAAACGCATCTCCCTGAGTCCTCTTCAATATCACTCCACAATACTAGTTGATTTGTCACTTTGATAGCCCTATTGCTTACTCCTCATTTCTTGCCACGTCGTTCAAATCGTAAATCGCTTCTAACTAACTAAAACCCACATCAGTAGGCTGTACTGCATTAAACAGTAGCAAAATAGCCAGTATTTATGGGTTTGTGAGAAAACAACGCTTCTTGTTTCAGGCTTAGCTGACTCGAATCCACTTTGGGCAAAGTGAGTGCATGCAGTGCCTTCAAGGCATTTAATGAACATCAATGTTAAAGTGAATGTAGAAACAAAGGTAATATTTATTCACGATGACCTTGTATTCCTGCCTATCATTCTGTGAAAAACATTGTATCCGATGATTTCTCGCTTCCGGATTTCAAGGCGATACAGTTTGTGAAACGCATTTCTCATCTTTATGAATGAGAATGCTCTAATCGTTGACTGTAGACCATAAATACTAGTCTGCGGCCTTTGTGGTCTAATCCCTCTTGTGACTTTTTAAATGAGCCACTCAGGTCACCAAGTTTGGGGAAAGCTCTCCCATCTCCATTCCACGCTGACGGTGATTTACACAGACTTAGTGGTGAAAGCTGAGTGCTTGATGACTGTGCATGCTTGAAAGCCACCGATTGACTGAAGAAAATATGCATCGACAAATTTTAATAACAGAAAATACTTCTGTTCTAATTTCTCATATCTGCATGAATCGATTTCCCTACGATTTGATTTTTAATTGTGGGATTTTCTAAAAGCTGCCACTTGATTGGTTACCTCAGATCTCATGTGAGATATCCCCTCATGCTTAGGCCCTCTACATTGGCTCATATGAATCAGTGATATGTTGAAAGTGTGCAGATGACCACTCAAGGGTTAAGGTCACTAAGACACCTTAAACACGGCAGATTGAAAGGACACAGCAGTGGGGGTATAACAAAATACGCTTAATTAGCTTCTGGTCGGTCCGTATGTCTGTCATTCACCTACCATACTTCTATGTGCACAACATGGCCATGCTTGCCCATTCTTTGACGTCGGTAATAGGATTACGTACACCGATAGCTTTGCTCATCAGTCTTTGGATGGATGAAAGGGAAGAAGCTCGACAGGACCCAAGCTGACAAGCCTACACTCCAAGTCACGGCAATGCAATTTTATGGGCTGTGTGGCTGCGAATAAAGCCCTCTTTCCGGTAACCTTCTTGAATAGCAGGCGAGAATGCAGCCTTTGCAGCACTTAGAGCAGATGAAATTTTTTCTTATTAAACCACCATGACTTCAGTATAATTTGCTTTGGTATGGAGCAAAGTTTGCACGGATGCTTGGAGGAAGTAATGCCACATTTTGGGAAAAAGGGACCACCCCTCTTAAAATCGCAAATGCTTGGGCAACAGAGTAACGCGACTAAATTCCTTTACTTTCTCTATGTGTCCCGTTGCACTTGGCCATACTAATGGCGAACTGCAAGCATTACAATGACCACTGACCAGCGCCAAAATGCTAGCGTGCCCCCTACAGCAGTAATATCAGGATCGCCTTCTGTGCGGAGATGATAAAGTAGGAATGAACGAAATGCATTCTAAAAATGAGATATAAGGGACAAGAGTGGCCGGCAACAAAAGATGATAGCGAATGAAATGCGAATGAGGTGAGTAGGTACACACTGGTTACGTAGGTAAATACCAAAGCGTGGGACACTGTGACCGGTGTGTACTCGTGGAAGTCCTTAAGTGGAGTGCAAACAGTGGTGGGAGGTGTGTGAGTGGGACTGCAAATCGGCTTTACTGTACATTCACTTGTCCATTTCAAGTTGTGATTACCTTCAAATCACTTTACCTCCCAAGGAAAATAAAGACTCGTTGTCCTTCAAAGCGACGCCGTTGCGGTGCATCGTCTTGTAAACTCGACCAGTCTTCGACTTCTCCTTCTCCGAAGTTATTCCTTGGTTCGAATGCTTGATCGGCTTTTGAAGACATTTCTGCTCCCACCACGAGATGTCTACTTCCAACTGAAGGAGAGACAAGAGCAACGAAGTGGGAGAAATGAGTGAATGTGTGAGTGTGCGGCTGAGTGAGTGGGAGGGAGATGGAGTGTTGACGAAGCGAAGAGGTGAAATCAAATAAGCGAATATTGAGCCATCCAACAAACAGACGATCAGAGGAGGTCTCACTTGACCCAGAATGGAACTGTCTGTCTGGTGGACTAGAAGGTTGGGGACGATGTGGGTGGTAGAGGAGGAGGAGGAGGAGGAGGTGAGGTGTGTGTACGCGTACACTCACGCATGCACATCCACATACACATGGGCATTCCCACCCGTTTCCGTGCGACACCAATTGGGCGACTGTTTAAAAGGACGAAAGATGATAATAAGCAATGACACTTACACAACCTCAAACGAACAGACAGACAGGCAGACGGTGACACACAGTGAAAAGAGGTGCACGTCCTTGCACGTTATTGCCTGCACTATACCCATTCTGGTCTGTGGCCTACATCTCGCAATCACTAAATCACAGGATGAATGGATCTTACCAAAAAGGTTTTGGCAGAAGACAAGGTAGGAAGAGGAGAAGGAGGACAATTGGATTTGGGCTTGGAGGAGGTGGAGGTGAGGGGAGAAGCGTGATGGAGGCAGAGAAGCGAGTTGTTCTGGCATTACTGCAATGCAAGGAACGGATTAAGGTAAAGGAAAAGAAACTACGTGAAATGCAGTGCAATGTAGGGAGCACATCTTCCTCTACATTGGGTGGTAGGAGGAGTGGAGCATGCATGGTAGGGTATAATGCAAGAATCAACTCTTGAGGGCATAGATAGTTGTAGGAGGAGAAAGCGGCACTTACCGAAGAGGCGTTAAATTGGGGCATGTGAAGAGAGGAGGGCAAGGGGCCACCTGCTCTGCTGTTTCGATGAAGTCAATAGACTTCGCTGTTGTATATGTACATTGATTCCTAATATCCACGAGAGAGAGAGAAGGAAAGGGCCTCATTACACGTGGTCTGAGGTTCTATCGAGTCGAGTTAGCGTGTCAACGAGGCAGTGGTGGGATCGGCTCGAATGGTTGAGTATGAGGGCAGCTAGGAGGTATGCATGATGGAGCAGATAATCCTGCTTAACCTATCTTATCCTATCCTATCCTTTTCTAGGCTAACGTAGTCTAGCTCAGACGCGTCAGCTAGTGTGGTCAAGTCAAGCCAGGTCTATGGTAGCGTAACTCAGTGCTTCTCAAGTGGGCCAGGTCACCAACAAATACATTAGGCAAGGTAATATAGGTCACTACGACTACTGCTACTGCTGTTAGTGATGAGTTGGTGGATGTGAAGCACGTATGAGTGGCATAAACGGTGAGTGCGGCACAGTAAGTGCAGTAGGAGGCATAAATGGGTTGGAGGAATTGGCCACTCAACCTTAAACATCACTGTGCAGCTGGCTAACGTGACTTCCTCATAAGTGTTTCTAATTTTGTCTCTGAGAGATTCGTCACTTCTGACCAGGGAGAACAATGGTGGTGATTGAACCCTTCCGGTGGAGGCGGAGTAACGTAACTGTGAAGCTGAAGGAGAGGTAGGAGATGGCAGTTTGAGTAAGGGAAGAGGAGAGGTGGGACGAGGTAAGACGACTGAATGAAGCATGAAGCAATGGACTTAACTGGAGGGTGTGTGCATTCCTACCGAAGCTCAAAGTTGAGTATCTGTGCACGGTGCTGTATACTAGGTCATTGGCTTCTCTCTCCTCACCGTCTGTTTGTAAATTCATTCATTTACTCACCTTTCAACTTACCTACCTGGCCACATATCTGTCAGAAACACAAAACAGTTGACTTAGTTGGAGGAAATATGCATATGCTGAATGATGTGCATTAAAGTGACTCCTCATAATTGTCCTTGAACATGTCAAAAAGACTGGACTAAAGTTAGGCCAATATTGAGATGTTGAATGGGCATGGATGAGGAGGGAAAGCTGAAAGGGTAAAAGTGGGAGAAGGAGGAGGAGGAGGAGGAGGAGGAGGAGGAGGAGAGGGCAGCTGCATAACTTAACCCTAATTACTACGACTTCCATTTGTTCTACTCGTCTTGATTTCCTGACGTCTCTGGAACAGCGGATTGGGAGGATGGGAGTGACGGACATGTGGAGGGGATTGGTGAGGAGGAGTTGTAAACTGATATGTATGTGATGGAGATTGTCAGTCGTGATCCTGGGAATTGGCACTGGAGTGATTTCTCTTTGGATGAGTCCACTACTGGAACCATTTGCCCTTCAAGCTGTTTTGAATTCTTCACCTCATCTCAACTCCTTTTACCAGTCTAGATGCGGTCCACTATGGATCAGTCGGCATGCATTCCGAAGGGTCTCTTCTGCTGGATGTTGTTGAGCATTTCATAAACAAGTAAAGCACCCCTTTTCAAAGTTGCACGACAAAAATTGGTGTATTGCATGCTATGGCCCTTCATTTGTCGGCATTATTTGACTGGCTACAAGTTGATAAATGAGAACCACTACATCCACCCACACTATCCGTATCTACGCATATACCACGGACTCACCCATTGGAATGCCTATCAATTTGACGCAATCAGTGGAAGCTGCTTTCGTCAGTTTCCTAAGGCCTTTGACGAGCTACTAGGGAAAAGACTTGAGGGGTACACCTCAACTCGCCGATTTGTGGCCACGCATCCAACACGGGCGAATAGTCAGCTTCCGTCTAATACAAACAACTGTATTGAGGACTTCACCGGTTGCAGTAGAAGGCTCAAATGGAAGTGAGGTGACATCCCAATGCCTGCGATTTCACAGTGAGAGGCTCTAAGAGCAATTATGAAAGGAATAAACGTTGCCAAACGGATCTGTAAAGTGAAATCGACTGGTTAAATCAAATCTTGCTGCTCATTTCTTTTCTTTAAGTAGCGTAGGCAAGTGACATTTGCGTATGTCTGTGAGTTTGTTGATCCCATTCCATCGCTGCCGGTCAATTTGGTGCTGAATATGACGCAAGTGTAGCATCCATTCACTTCTCACTAAGTAAAACAGCCAGAGCATCGCACAGTGTTGAGAATTATGGTGTTTCCCATTTGAGATCACGTTGTTTTACAGGGGCCTTTCACTATGTCCCAACTTGCAGACAGCAAAAGTAGCATGTTGAGACGAAATCCTCAATCTCTCCTCCTCTGCTGCTGTACTCATCGTCCGAATTGAACCGTCGTGCTTAATGCAACAGTGCAAGCAATGTACCCTGCAGCCTCGTTCCTACACTTCAAGGTTTTAAACCCAAAGGAGTGTCACAATGCATTATTACTTTATACCTTATCTTTGTTTGCATTCTTCGGTCATGATAATTAACATCTTTTGAGGTAAATATAATTATAAGTTTGAGGTAGCTCAATGATGCATGTGTTAGCGATGAATACTTACGATAGTGCCGAAGTAAGCAATGGAACATTGACTGCTTTACTGTTTGGAATGCAGTACGGTGACTGTTCTCGCGAAGCTGTTTTGGATGTTGGAGATTTGCATGTGGCATGTCCTACTTCATCTTATTCAACAATGGACAGAGGATGGAGCCATTCAACACCACTACATCACATTTACATGCCACACTTCACAAAACAATATTTCAAAATGGAGACAAAGGCAAAAAATCACAAAACGTGTCTTTCTTTGATTACTACTTTACCTCCAAGTTGGCTTTACCGAATAAGCCAATTATTTAGATGTGTAGTTATTTAGACTTCACTTTTTAAGACATATTTTCGAAATTGCGTGTGCTCGTAGTGGACAGTCTCTGTCCAGGGTAGCCTGTCAGTTTTACCTTTAAATGCGTACTTGGTGCGTGTTTCTAAATTTACTATTCTGTATTTTTTGCATTCAACCCATGTGTGCGTTCACGTCAACATGCATGAAGTTTAGTCCTTTGGACAGCTTGACGAATTTAGTTTCACTCATTAATGCTCTGCTGGTGCACTTATTGGGTAAATCTAATGAGGAACACGCTTGTTCCTTCATTTGATTAAGGCAAATGAGGTGTCTAAAATGGACCAGTTGCAAATAAAGCAGGCGATTGTACTCACTACCTAATTCTCCTTAGTACGCAGCGCACACTTACGAGCGCCTGTTGCTGACGGGTACTCGGCTGAAGATCTAGTGGTCTAAAGCTAAGCTCTAGGCTGCATTTGGATGCCGAGGTTTATTAGGACGTATTTAGATATGTCATATTAAAATACGGCTGCCATTTATTGGATAGGTACTCTTAGCTGGCAGGTAAGCAGTCTGTAACAAGATAATAGAACCAAGTAGTCTAAAGTTTGGCGATGTCTCCAAGCGTGTGATTGGCCTTTCAAATTACTTAGCTGAAGATGGATTCAGGTTAATTACAGAAAAAAAGGAAAGAGAGGATGGATAATATCATGTGGGCAGAGGAGAGAAGTGCACGAATAGCCAGTGGGGAGGTCTTTCCACCGAAATTGAACAGAGGAAAATTGTTTTAGTAGGATCCACTAGGGGCGGTCAAGCTCAAGTACTCGTGAACTTCTTCAGTGAAGGCAAATTTAGCATATATTCCATGAGTTACTCTGCCCAGACAGGATCTGATCCGAATATAACCTTATTCTTCAGATGAGCTTGCGCTTAAGTTTTCGTTAAAGACGCCATATGGAGATTGAAAGGGACAAGGCAAGCTGCGTAAGTGACGCGAGCATTTCGCCTTGATACGCAAGTAGAAGAATTGTGGAGGGTTTGCGCAGATGAATATGGCTTTGGAATATCAATTACCTCACGATAAAGAGTCCACCATGCTTTGGTTGACGTCCTCTGCTCGTTCTTCTGAATCAGCCATCACAAGTAATCAGGTGGCATAACAATGACCGTGGCACAGGAAGGCCCATAAATTTTTTCATTTCCCGCACAGAAGGAGTGTCTATCATTGGTAGTTCAACTCAGTGGTACATATGGGATTGCTGCATCCAGCTCCTTGTTGGACAAATGTTTACCGTATCAGGTCAATGTATACACATACTTCGGAGTCGAAAGGGAAGAAAAACCAGTTAAAGGCGATTCTTCAGATGTCAACTTTGCATATGTTACCGCCCAGCCCGTGGAAAAAGAAAGGGCAGCGGCTCTTAAGCTCCCCATGTTCTAACCGGTGATTTCATTTCCGCCTAATTTTTTCCACCCTATACTAAGAACCAGACTCAGGTAGAGAAATTTTAATCTGCAAACACGCACACTCATCACATAAACGTGTTAACATGCAAACAAAAGGAAGGAGGGGGCAGCAGACTAGGTCTCTTCTTTGATGGGCAAGGCAGTGTGTCGAGTGAGACCTGCAGCTTTGCACGCCAGGAAGCACTGTTAAGCGAACTCCACCTTCTCTCCAGTAGTTCTGCATAATTTCGCGCAAAATAGACCTGCGAGTAATGGTAGTAGTGTCAGTGTCGGTGACTGAGCAGCCGTTTTGGAGGTCTGTCTCTCCTCCTTCCATGATGGTGCCTCAAACGAACTTCTCTTCCGTCCTCCTCACCTCCATCCCCTCGGTATCTACCATCGTCACAGTGACGAGAATGTTTGCCACTGCTACGAAAGTGCCTGAGAAACAGAAAGACAGAGCGATTAAAAGGTTCTGACAACATGGTCTGCTTGTGCAGTCAATGCGCATCACAGCCGTTTTAATTATATTGTGTGGCTGGAGTACGTAACGCATGTGCGTGATCCCGAGTATTTCAGCAGTCACTCATACAGTGGTTGCACCAGTGCTCGGTGGAGATGGCAACGATGTTCATTAGGAATGTAAAAGAAAACCGGCAGTGTATTGTGGCAGTACACTTAAACTCTCGCCTGTTATGTTCAAAACCAAGGTTTCTTCTTTCCAATTGACAAATCAACGTTTGCATCATTCACAACTGGTTGAATTTCACTCTGCCTATCACTTCTACTTAATAGCAGCTAGTAGCCGTGGCTAAATAAAACCCTTACAGTTTGGCTATTTTAGAGTTGATGACTCCAGCGTATGATCCGTTTGGACGGGTATATAATCAGCCTTCATCGACGAAAATCACCACAATTTGTGCTATTCCAAAACCAGATATCGGGTATGGTGCAACTTTGAATTTGCAAAGTTTAACCGCACATGTCTTCAGTGCTTATTCTCCTGTTAAATGTATGTCAGCAAAAGGAATGGAGGAAGCAATGCTAGTATCTGGTAGATATGGCTGCACAGTACTGAGGCGAGAGCAACATGGTAAAGTGGTATCTAGGAGGAAGAGCTCATAAAATCGGTAATGACAATTAGGATTCACCCTTAGCACAATAACGCTGCTATTTTGTCCACTAACCAGTAAACATGCACACACCTTTCACAAGCCGTTTTACTTAGCTGTAGAAGCGCTTAATCGGCTAGCAGGAGGGCAACTGTGGCATGAGCCTGAGAGATGGATTGAGGGAAGCAGAAGAAAAGGTCGATGAGCATTTGGATGCCCACTGTGACTGCCTCATCCAAACCGGCTACATTCTTCGCTTCTGCGTCAGGTCCAATCAATCTGAATGGGGAGTGTTGCGGTGATTGAGGCCAAGAAGGCGCATCAGCATTTGCAGACAGCCGTCCCGTCAGCAAGAGTTTACTCACTTGCAAAGAAACTATGCTCGTGCTCTTGTACAGCAGACCAACGCTCTCAGAATCCATCCGCAACGAAAGTCAAGGCCTTTAAACTTACTCGACTTCTTCCTAAGTAGTGATTTACCATCGGTGGGATTAAGGCATTTCAGCTGCCTAACATTCACCCTGTACGTAGATTGCGTGGAATTCTTATGTGCTGTATCCAACTGCACCGACCGTGAAAACGATCGGACGGGGAGACACCGTGTGCAAAGTTAAGTGGTGTCAGTTCATTTACCAGGTATGGCATAAGAGTGTTGGTTTCCCAACAATACAAGCATTGATGCGAGGTTGCCATAATGCACAAATCGTATTTCCTCGAATGCACCCTTGAGGTGAGAGGCGGTTAATGAGCACAATGCTTGATGGAACCGATGTCACTCATCTCCAAGTGTAATCCTGATCATTGCACAACGTCCTCGATATTACCAAGACAAACTGTCCCGATCTAATGAGACCGCTCGTTCCAAAGGAGAGATGGTGAAACAACCATATGTTTCGCCAGTCAGTTTTGTTTTATTGTTAAAGGAGGAGGAGGAGGAGGAGGAGGAGGAGGAGGAGGAGGAGGAGGAGGAGGAGGAGGAGGAGGAGGAGGAGGAGGAGGAGGAGGAGGAGGAGGAGGAGGAGGAGGAGGAGGAGGAGGAGGAGGAGGAGGAGGAGGAGGAGGAGGAGGAGGAGGAGGAGGAGGAGGAGGAGGAGGAGGAGGAGGAGGAGGAGGAGGAGGAGGAGGAGGAGGAGGAGGAGGAGGAGGAGGAGGAGGAGGAGGAGGAGGAGGAGGAGGAGGAGGAGGAGGAGGAGGAGGAGGAGGAGGAGGAGGAGGAGGAGGAGGAGGAGGAGGAGGAGGAGGAGG